CAATTCCATAGAACACAATTTTTGATTTTTTTTAAACTTTTTAAAACCCGGATTTTGGAATAATTCAGAACAACAAAGTACTTCATCATCATAACAATATATGATTTTTTTCAGCCTAGGTCACCAGGCTAGATTTTGAGATATTGCATAACAACTCTTCCATAGTGTCGTCAAAATGACGACTTTCCACTAAAATACAACCATCAATTTCTCAAAAAAAGGCTGTGGCCCCCAACTTTTTTTTACAGAGTACAGTTTATTGCAACTTGAAAATGAATAAATTCTGGGTATTTTAATTTGTGAGTAGGCTTCAAATATTAATAAGCTAGTTCAACATTACCCAATCAGCAAGCCCTTCATTTTTAATAAGCATGTGATCGTAGCTGCTATGTATCTTGATGGCGTGCAAGCATTATGGGCGTAGACGGTAGGGCCCTCGTGCAAATAACTATTAAATAATTGAATTTGAAATAAAGCTGAAGATCGGTATTTACAAATACAAAATAAATGCAGATGAACTAAAAGTTAAAAATCGAGAACATTGTTGAGTTTTAACACCCTCTTTTTCTTAGACATGTTCTAGTGTATATAGGCATCACAAACACAAATTGTGTTTATTCTTGTGTACTCTGAGTAATAATAAAACACAGGAAAAATATTTCCTTAGACATGTTCTAATGTATAAAGGCATCACAAACTACACAGGATCAGAGACTCGGATGGGGTAGACATTTCAGTGTAAAGTTGCATGGTCGGATCCTAGCGACGTTTCTGTGTACATATACCAGTATGTTATGTCTAATATAGCGTGAGCATTATTCCACCAAACCAGAGTACCGTAGACGATAGCACAAGAAACAAAACTTTCTAGTAAACGCTGGTAACAATGTCAATTCAAGCTTATTATTGTACTTGTCCATCTTTTGTCTAAATACAAAGACGTGTTCGACATATATGACAACGCATACATGGGTAAAAAATTTCGTTTTCATTTTCAAATTAATTTCAACATCGAGAGGTTCTGAAAATGCTTGACTGCTATATACTTTATATGTGGTGAACGAAGTAAGGTCCATATGATGGAACATTCCATTCCACTGACATTCAAATCATTATAGATGCAACATTAATAATATAACTGGAATAATCAGATCTAATGTTTTTATTTATGAATGCCGTATATTTATTCATTCAATATATAAAAAGCTCGCAATAAAATTCAACCAGACTAAATATACAATAATGAACAAAATAAAGACATCTGCATGTATACATTATCGTTCTCTGCGACAAGTAAAATTAATTTTACGAACTCAAATCACATCGACACGTTTTACTGGCATTCGTAAATATCTGCATTCACACGTGTCTTCAGGACTGCGACGAGAAGCGTTGGTGATGGCGACTTCAGCTGGCTGATTAAACGAATCAGTAGTTTTAGTTTTTCTCACAGGTTTTCCTTCGAGCTGGCTGAAGAACTCTTCAATTTTTAATCTCTGACGCTTCGATTCAAACTCCTAGAAATAGAAAAATTACAGGATTAATCCTAACACTTCAGTAAAGTGTGAATAGTTGAGTGCCGTGAAATTTACTTATTGCAAGATGGCACGAGTGTGTTCAATTACTTACAAACGTAGTGGCACCGAAGACAAAATGTCGTCGAAACAAGACACTCAGTTATCAGTTATTTGTTTATTTTCTTTGCAGTGGTGACCAATAGACATTTGTGCGATTTTTGTTTTTATTTGTCAGTGCCACAAATGTTTTTTTTTTTATTTATATAAATCAAATTGTTTCCCAAGCGTCAAAGTGGTAAGCTAAAACTAATTTAATATAAATTAAGCTGGGGAACATACCTGGATAATGCATAAGTGGTGAGAAATAATACAGACAATTTCGCTTTCGTGATTCAGATTGAAATGTAGCTCTTACAACTAAGGTATAACCCCTTTTCCGAATTAGTGATGAAATTGACAATAATTAATTCTATATCATATCAGTTCCAATGATATTCTATAACTTCACATCCCTTAAAGTTGATGACGTAACCAAACAGCATATTACATCACCAGAAATCCGCAAATGATTTTTTAGTCATCCGGTGTATGGATTTGACATACGAGATACACAATATGCAAATACCACTGTGTATCACGTTTGCATGCAATTACTGTAAGAATTTTTAACCAAGCTTTACCAAAAATTAGTATGGTTATTGCCATTTTGTTCATACCTGCATCACTGTACTATTACAACATAACATAATAATATTTGAATAAATGTTGGTTAGTTTTTATTTACAAGTAGATTTCGGACAATTCAAACGGTGAGATTGTTCGGTAGAATACGAAGCGCCACCACACGACGGTGTTGTATTAACTACACACGACTCACCTTGCGCATGGCATGTGCAGCAACAGCAGTTCTATGCATGGTCTTTCTCCATCCACCACTGCCGTGATCGGCGCTCAGCTTCACTGTCGGGTGCCCACCAAGACTTCTCCTCGGAGTTTTGACCTTCAAATCCACTGTCAACTGAGGGTCCGACTTAGTACGCCCTCTCCCGTGCTTGTTGTGGTTGATTTCTGTGGTCCACGCACTATCTTCTCGGTATTTTTGCAACTCTTTCGCTTTTTCCACCAATCTAGCTTCGCAGGCGACACAGTTTGCTTTACTCGACCGCCTCAACG